GTGATGTACGAAGAACGAGCTTTGAAGCTCAGGGCGATGTAGAAGCGACCTTACGAAACGAATGAAGGCAGAGAGTTGCAAATGTTGAATTAAATTAACCAAGAAAACTATGTTACGAAGATTTCCCTGGGGAAAAAAAGAAAATAGCTCGTCCCTCCATCCCAATTCCCATCGTGACTCTCTTTCGCTCAGGCCAGAAGCGTGGTATCTCAAAAGCAGCAAAAGCCCAACCAGACGCATGTCGTCAACAGGTGAAGAACCCTCAACCCTATGCGCCAGACACCCAATCTCCGTTTGTAAAACCCATCATAATCATCGTGATATCGTCGACTTTGATCCCACTTTACAGCCCGCAATAAGTAGCATCCAAGCCGGTCAAGCCCGTCGTGCTATCATAGTCACCAGGAATCATAATGCCAGGATACAATCTATCGCTACCAGGCGTAGACCCATAATCACAAGCACCAGTACTAAACTCCTCGCCACTAGTCAAGCTCTCATCGCTGAAGCTGAGTACGCTTTGAGGTGGTGGGGCTTCAGAGCTGTAGGCGCTCCAGTTCCAGACATTTGGCGACCATGTCACGTTGCTGTTTTCTGTATTGGCGGATTGAGGTGCTACGTCGACGAGGGCGTCGGCTGGGGGCCCGCCGTAGATTGTGTCGTAGATGTTTGTTTGGCCGTTGTCTAGGGAGGAGAGGAGGCGCTCCCAGTCAGAGGTTGAGACTTCGGTTTTGATGCCTTGGTTGTTTTGGAGGGCGTAACTGGCGAGTGGGTCGTTGGCGAAGGAGAGGTAGTCGATGTTGCGTTGCTGTTGCTGCTGCTGTTGTTGCTGGTGCTGAGGGGTTGGCTGACTTGGGCGACGCTTGTTTGGCATCGAAAAGGATGCGCGATGCGACAGCGGGCTCAATGTTGGTTCTGAACGAGCGACAGGAGGCTCTGATCGAATGGATGACAAGCTTGTCAGCGAAGGATTAGCGTGCGCACCCACGCTGGGCGAGAGGGCAGGCAAAGTCGCGCGACGAGGCTCTTGGTCTTGTCGGGCATTTTTCATCATGCTTGGTGAGAAGCGAGCTGCAAGAGCCTTGAGCGACTTTTGGGTAGCACGGAAGGTATCCAGAGGCGCTCCCATGTGGCCCTCTGAGTTGTGCCGCGACAGAGGCGGGGCTGGCATTTGCTCCACCTGAGGAACCGCCACGATACCGCAGCCCACGCGACGGAACTCGGCATAGCCAGCAGCGTTTCCACGCTCAAGCATGTCCATTACAGAACACACCAAACGGTTGCTGTCCTTGATCAACTTGCCCTCGCGAGCTAGTGTCAAGGTCTGGAAGAGCAGGCCGAAGCCGGCTTGGACGAGAACCTCATTGCGATTGAGGCAGAACGAGAAGCTTAGCTTGCGCTCGTCTAGGAGTTCAACAATCTGCACAATATGCTTGCAGGCATCGCCAACGGCTACAACGGCCGACGAGCCCTTGTCGCCAAGATTAGCAACAACGGCTGGGCGGTATACAAGCGCCCTAATGTGGTGGTAGACAAGAGACTAGGCTTGTCAGCGTTCGGTAGATATACCAGGAATTGAAAGACATACCAAGACAGGTGATCTGCTGCTGGTGACGTTGGTGCTTGGCTTGTCTTGCGCGAACGTCAGCTTGAGGTGAGGCGCAAGGTTAGCCTGCCAATCTTCCAGCTCGTCGGAGAGCGACGCAATAGTGCGGAACGAAATGTCATGTGATGCCGATCCGGGGTAGAGCTCCGTCAGCACCTTGGACAGGATGCGCGACAGGCGGAACAGAGCCAGTGCGCTGGAAAGTTTGGTGTACTCGCCGGGCAGGGTCGGCAGGAACCCCTTCTCGGTGACGTATTCGTCATCGGCATCTACCGGATACTCGCAGTGCACATCTTCCTCTCGGATCAGCTTCGGTAGTCCGAGGTGTGCAGCGGAGAGACTAGGAGCGGTCAGTAAGTGTAACGGCGGGGTTCGGCCGAAGGCTACTTACCAGTCGACTGTGTACAGCGACCAGAACAGCTTCTTGCGCGTTTCGCTCGTCAGTGCATCGAGTGCGAAGCGCTTCTGGGATTGATGCAAGCCAAGACGTTGCGACAGGCCGACAGCCAAGCCCTTGTACTTGAGCACCCGCGAGTAATCAGCCCTCAGCAGGCAGAAGATCTGGGCAAGGACAAGGCACTGCAGCGTTGCGACGTCATTGTCCATCAGGAAACTCTCGACAGCGCTCTGCCACTGAGCCTCGAAAGACTCTACATCTTGACCGTCGCGTGGCTGGAGAAGTTAGCATTCAGCTAGACACGATTGCGAGGTTTACATACGTCGCTTGACAGCGCGGCAATGCCAAAGACCAAGTTGAGTTGCGCAATCGACTTCTTGTCGCTCATAGTATCCGGGCTAGCCACATACTGCTCGTAGAGTGACAAGAAGGTCGGGCGATGGAGAATCGGGAATAGAGGAGCCCATTCTTGAAAGAAGATGTTGATCATCTGATCTGAGACCAGACGAGGAGGGGCTTTGAATGAAACGATGCGCTTGGGGTGAGTCGCAGTCGGTCTTGCTCCAGCGCCGAAGAAGGCGCTTGAGTTGATGTCGGTAGATAGTCTGCCTGTCTCTTGGGCTTTCTGCTTGAACGCCTCTGTGAAGTGTTAGACGCGCTGCACGTCACTCGATAGAACGTGAATCTTACCAACTAGGGTTCGTCCACTCGAGCTGCCCACGAAATACGAATCTTTGTTTAGATCGTCAAGCAGGAGCGGTGCCTGCTGCACCTTGAACGTCTCTTCTTTCTCTTGTGATTCTTCTCGCACGTCAGAAGAACCCGGAGAGTGTATGGATGGTCGTCTGGCGGTTGAAAACGCTGCCGGGGAACGCGCATGCATGCGTGATAGCATGTCAATCTTTTCGTCTTTCTCGTCAAGGAGGTCCTTCAGGTCGCGAACTTCTGCCTCGAGTATGCGGACGCGTTCTTCTAGCGATTCGGTGTATCCTCTGGGAAATGCGCGTCGACTGAGCTTGTCGCTCGTCTTGCACTCGAATCCGACATTGGTGCATTGCGTGCAGCTGGGGCGGATGCCGTCGCATCGTATCTTCTTGGAGCGACATCGGTCGCAGGCTTGGGCGATGCGGCTCTGGCAGCTGGAGCCGACCTTGATCACTTTCATGGGGAGTATTCCGGGCATGTTGGCGTCGTTCGTTACGCGTCGTCGGTGGTGTCAGGTGGTATCCGTCCAAGGCCCAATGGGCGATCACTGATAGGTCGTGTCACGTTCTGTCATCCGCTGCTCCGGTACTCAAGTATCGGCCGTGTATCGTAGTTGAAGTTTGGATATGCAGTCGCCAGGCGTTTCACAACTTGAATGCACAAGAACAGAGCAAAACCAGTCAGGGCGAGTGCGCAAGTCAGACGGGCGAGGAGGGTTGGCGGAAGAATCGGGGACGGCCTGGCAGATGTAAGCTGCCACCTGCCACCCTGGCTTAGTCTTTCTCTGGGGAATTTGTGGGCGGCTGCGGGGCGACAGGCGCCATCTCACAAGGGATAGCACGAGCAGCACATCTTTCGCCGATACTTTCTCGTCCACGCCTGTTCACTAAACCTTAAAGCTGGCTTCGCTGCGATCAGCGCGCGGGACTCGTCTGCTTGTCAGAATTACGACGGCCTTTCTCGGCACTCCTCACCAGCCTCTCACAACGGTGACTAGAGCTTTCTGCGGGGTGGTGGCTTCGACGACGGTGAACACCCACGCTCAGATCATGCGAGGACGTCGGCCCGATTGCTGTGATTGAGCCACCCATCACTCCCTCAATTGCAACCTGCTCCTGCTCTAGCCCTGTGCAGCGTCCGAAATATCGCGCCCTTCTTAACCGGATGGGTATCGTCTACAAGGGCAGCTAGCAGACAGCCATTCGCTAATAGCCGCAATATTGGCTGCCCGTGTGACTCCAACTCATCAGCGCACTCTATGTGTCACATTCTAGAAGACAAAAGGATCATCGTCCCTGTCGACACGGAACGCGCAACCTGTATGCTCTGTCATTACAGGCTTAAAAGGCGGTTGTATCGACCAGGGACGGATGATGAGAGCGCACTGAGTGGGCGGCGCGGCACGCCGCTTATCTCGACTAAGCCACATTGCGACCTGCAAATCAATTCTCCTAGACGGGATCAATAGCATCCTCGCGTGTCTATGATGGCTATTTAGCCGGACCCTGCGTGTAAGGCTGAAAAAGCAATTGTTGGATGTCTCAATCATTAGACAGTGGCTGTTCGGCAGGGCGGCCATACGTGCCGTCCGTGCCACATTGTTCGTATAGAACATGACAAGAGTGTTATTGTTGGTAAAGGGATACACGCATTTGACCGAACATGACCAGATATAACAATAGCTCCCACTGAAAGCAACATGTGCTCTGGCCGTAAGGCTGTTGTCAAAGATATAAATACCAACCTTCAGCTAGCGACCGTTACCACACGACAGCATTCTCCTGACTATAAGTAATTTACCACACAGAAGCTGGACTGGCATTGTCCTACTCGAATCGAATTTCTGATACACATTCTCCATCGTCCTTGTCTTCGTATACCTCAGTGTTATCTGGATACCGTTCCGACCACATCATACTAACAGCTTTGAGAACATCCTGTTTCCCGTAGCAAGTCAGATCAGGCCATCAATGACGACTTGAACAACCCACCCACTCCACGGCACGAATAGCCATCGAAAGAAGATTTGGTTGCCTTATCCTTCGTAATTAGTAACAGTTCATTCTTTCCTTTACGTAGTGTACTGTCATTTGCGAAAAACTCGAGTTGATCTATCAGTTGCTTTGAGGTACAACAAGGTATCAAACAGTGTGGGACGCATGGTGGAGAGCCGATGCTTCTATTGATGTTCTACCGTAGACGTACTGCTACCCATGTTGCAGTAAATGCAGGGCGCGTGGGGCTCCACCACGTTATATGAGCTCGTCTATCCGGAGTGGGGTCCTTGGGTTATCAGGAGAAATCCTCTTCGTCTTCGCCATCTCCTCCCTCGTCCAAGCCCAGATAATGGACGACTGCCTCTGTGTCGAGGAGTTTGGCTTTCTGTTTGTCGTCAGTGCGGTTCCGGCGAGAAGATGCAGGAATGATAATTTGGTAGTTTAGCAGCCTGACAGTCTGGGCTTTTAAGCGCATGCAACCAAATTTGGTGCGACGCCACACCAGATAAACTGTCGCCGAAGGACATGATGCGACACATGCCCTCTGGCGGTGTAAAGTCCGAAACATACTATGATGGAGCTCGCACTGCGGGGTATAGAGAGAAATTGGTCTTACCTGGCTGTCAAGAGTAGCAGCTGCACGCTTGAGCAAGTCTAGCTCCAAACTTCGGAGTCGCTCCGCAAGTCGCCACGGCATTTCCCGCATTGTACCCGTTCGTTTGGCACCCTCTGCTTCCGTGAGCAGCTCAATCTGCGCATCAACGCGATTTTGTAGGAGAACCGTGGCACGTAGCTGGAAGACATCCCATAATGGGTCTTGTTCAAGATTTTCTCGGAGCTTCACGGTATCGAGTTCGTGCTCTTTCCAGAAAGATTGGACTTCTCTCTTGCCATCGGTGGTTTGTCTGACCTTGAAGTCTAGACCATCTTCTTCGTTGACTACGACGAGCCATATGAAGTCACTTTCCCAATCTATGGTACCGTCTTTCTCAAAGATGCGGAAGCCCGGTGCGACCTTGGAAACGTAGATCTTCGCAGGTCTGAGGGGGTCGTCGTCTGGGATATCGAGGTCTAGAAAGACGACCTTTGCAGACGTCATGGCATCCTCGAGGAATCCGTACGAAAAGATGTTTTCGCATGCGCCTTTGTCGTCGCCATATCTATGTTTGTGAGCGAGTATCCTCCGATTCGTCATGATGACCTACGTGATCGTTATCTCATCACCAGCTTTAACTTGTTTGCCCTCTCGAAGTAGCAATAGACCATTCCCGTTACCATCAGTCTCGTACAATGCGGCCGTCGCATCACCTGATGCATGGTTTGCCATGTCGACGCAGGGGACCATGCAGTCACCAGTACCGGGGAATTCCAAAGCTCTAGATCTGTACATGGCATCGACGCACATCCAGTCGTCGAAAGTCAACATACCATTTTCTTCATCCCACCAGTATTTTTTACACCAGCTGATAGACTCTGTAGCAGTCCGCAAGTTTTCGAACTCGCGCAATAAGCTGTTGAGCTTTGCGCTGACTGCAGGTTTGAGCGTGGTTCCAACGAGAAGCTCCTGTTCTTCCTCGCTCCAGAAAGTGGGTAGCAGCTCATCTGGAAGGAACTTGACGTATTCCGTAAGAGGATTGAGCACGCCAACATCCTTTGTATCGGGGCAGCAGATGGTTGCTTGGAGGAGTAGAAAAGTAAGAACGGCACCTCTTGTTGTCTGTTTCATGTTAGTGCTGGGCACATTTGCATTTCTTCTGGAATTGCCACACCATTCCAAAATCTCCAAGAGCTTCGAGAAGTTCGCGTAGATGATGATCGGACTTTGCGATAAGTTCAATATTCTGACGAGAAATGATCAACTCCTTGGGCACGACAAGCAAAGGCTCAGCTTCGCCCCCTTGAAGCTTCTCCTCAGCAATGACTGTAGACCCTCGGTCCTCATAGCCTGGCAGCGGGCCTACTTTGACGCCGTTGAATTTGACGCCATTGAATGTTGCCCAAGTAGGTAAAACATCAATGGACTCTTTGAGCCACCCCTGGGTCCTGCCTCTTCGGATCATCGTAATCTTCATGTGGTAGATGAGGCTTTACAGCGCACGGGCGCGGCCCACTGCTACTCTGCGACACACAGGTTTTGTGGGTCGCCAAGGATCCCGCCTCAAACAGCGACAACTCTGTGGAGTCTGTACGATGACAGCTGACTGTTGACAGTTGGAGTAGCACAGAAGAAACAACAACGGCTCGATGGCTGCATGCGGTGAGGACGATCGCGATGCCGACGGGCTCTAGTGCGGGTCGCGCAAATTGTCCGCGATTACTGCAGCAATCGAGATGCAGGCTGCCTTTAGGAGTCCGTACACTGGACCCTGTGAGGTCATGCAGACACGACGACAGCTGCAGGTCCAAAGCCTCGAGCTGCTGGTTCCCTAAGAGACGGATACAAACAGAGTCGTAGCCGGCGGGACAAGAGATGCTGGCAAACGAAGAGATATGTCTCAGGACACCTATAGGCAGTGCGTCATGCAAACAGCAGGGAGGGCCTCACCAGTTGTTGTGTTGTTGTGGTGCTTGGGCCAAGACGTCTAGAGTTGTTATGATGGCGTTGCGGGCATCCCGAAACCATGGAGTGGAGCTAGCGGGCGAGTCCGTGCGTCTGTAAACAACAACAACATGGAGGATGTGCTTAAACCTCCAACCATCCGCCGTCACACATCTTTACAGTTATTCCTTACTCCCGACCGCAGCAAGACACGCAGACGCAGACGGCACTTCCGCCACCAGCCATACCGACGACGCATCTTCCCTTGCGCTGCGCTGCCGACATCGCTGCTCTCGTCCCAAGTCGGCATCTCGTCACCGTCCTTCCCCAGCTGTAGTCAACACCTGCGGGTCGCACCTTCTTCTTCGCAATGGCTTCACCACGCGATCGAGTGGCCAAGATGTCGCGCGCATCCACCACCAGCTATGGTCAGGTGATCGAGGTGAGCACCACAACACACACCAAAACAAAGCGACTGCGGGACCCGTTCTGATCGATTTCCTAGTACATCCAAGACAGACTCTACCTGGCATCCTACACAAGCCCGCCCGATGCGAACACTCCGTTCCCGTACCCCAAGCAGAGCCAATCACCGTCCAAACGGTCGTCGCGCGCGCAAGTAGGTCCTACTGCCGCCGGCCCCAAGGCGCACCCTCCCGTCTACTTTAGTATCGACAAGACGCTCCTGTACAACGCCTTCCACGGCGACTTTGGCCCACTGCACATCGGCCACCTCTACCGATTCGCGGTACAGCTGCACGAGGTTCTGGGCGATCCTCTCAACGAGGACCGCGCCGTCGTCTTTTGGAGCAGCGCCGACTCGAGGAGTGAGCTACTCCACATTCCTCGCTCAATAGCACCCGTTAACATGCCTAGGTCGCGCAAACGCTGCCTGCATTCTCGCATGCTACATGGTGCTCATCCAGTCATGGCCACCCCACCTTGCTCTGGCGCCGATTGCCCAGATGGACCCGCCGTGCATGCCCTTCCGCGACGCCGGCTACAGCCAGGCCGACTATGTTCTGAACATCCAGGACGTCATCTACGGTGTATGGAAGGCCAAGGAGGAGGGCCTCTGCGGTCTCAAGGACTTCAGCCTCGAAGAGTATGTCTACCGAAGCACATCAATCGATGAATACTGACAGCCTTAGGTACGAGAAGTTTGAGCGCGTAGACATGGGCGACTTCAACTGGGTCACGCCCAACTTCCTTGCCTTTGCCTCTCCCCAGCAACAACCCACACACGAGATCCCGACCTCATCACCCATGTACGCGACGCTTCCCTCCAACATCGCCGAGATCCAGCGATCTGGACTTCCTGGTCCCTTCAAGAACGTGCTCTCGCACTTTTGCGCGCGCAACGTTGGACTCGTCGTACGCCTCAACTCGGAACTGTACTCCTCTTCATACTTCACCAAGCTCGGCATCCAGCACTTGAACATGATCTTCGACGACGGAACATGCCCACCGCTGTCCCTCGTACGCAAGTTCGTCAACCTCGCCCACGAGATGATCACAGTGCAGAAGCGCGGCATCGCAGTCCACTGCAAGGCTGGACTGGGACGAACTGGCTGCTTGATCGGCGCGTACCTGATCTACAAGCACGGCTTCACCGCCAACGAGATTATCGCATACATGCGCTTCATGCGCCCGGGCATGGTCGTTGGCCCCCAACAGCACTGGCTGCACCTGAACCAGGGTACTTTCCGAGAGTGGTGGTACGAGGACCAGTTCAAGGCAAAGTACGCGCAGACCGTGCCATCGACGCCTACCAAGTCACCGCACAAGCAGCGCCTCGCTAGCAACGGGCAAACCTTCACACCGCCCAACGGATCGTCCAAGCGCGCCGCGCTCGGCGAGATCGAGTCGAACGAGCGAAGCAACTCGGGCCACATTGGCGTGTTGGAGGACAACCTGCCTGCGCCGACACCTGGACAACCGCGAAAGACTAGCAAACTTTACGGCAACGGCTCGCGGTCACCACAGCGCATCGACGAGAACGAGCCCTTCACCAGGTCGCACACAGAGGTCAGGGCGGACATTACACGCTTCGATGGCGAGTCAGACGAGGAGTTCCACCTGCGCCAGATTGCGCGACGCACATCATCGCGCTCTCCTCAGCGCTCGCCGACCCTCAAAGACAAGCAGCGCCGTGCTTTCAGCACCACGTCCGTCGTCCAAACATCAGTAACCCACACCTCTTTCGGCTTCGGTGAGGAGAGCGATCTCGAGAACACTGCGCCAGCTGGCATACGGCCAAAGACACCAAAGGAGAAGAGCGGCAGTGGCAGCATCAACATGGGCAAGATCCGATCGAGTCCCTCGCGCCGAAGCACCGACGGCAAGTCTGCTGTACGGAAAACCAGCGGTCGTGTTGGAAGCATGGGCAACGCCATCTCCCGCCCAAAGTCATGAGCATCGTCACTGGATTTTGCGTTTCTGATCCCGCATCTTCATTCCGGGAGTTCTAGCACGGCGTCTTGGGACACGACCTTCATCGTCACTTCGTTTCTCGTCTCAGTCAATTCTTCGTCGAACAGCATGCCATCGGGCTTGACGCTACACATGTCGTCTGCGGGCGGGCGTTTTTGGATCACTACAAAGAGTGCATAACGGAGTTGGGTCATCATTCTGGGAGTTTACTGGGGGCGCATGGTGTGCTAATGTCTCTTTCTACTGTCTCATTACCCAGTCACTTGTTGCTGCATCTTTACTTTAGTCTTGTCCCTTTTCGCGGTAATCTGGCTGCGGATATGTTCATGACGTGTATGAGTTGATGACTACTTCTAATTGTCCAAAAACAATGGCATGTTCTTCTCTATCAAACTTGACTTGTCTGATGAATTGTGACTGTGACTTTTGCTTTGCACTACTGGAGAAAGATCTTTTCTCAAATTTGGTTGACGAAAGACTGTGCTGCATATAAGTATCTATCCAACCCTAAGGATATGTTACCCCGATATCAATCAAGATAATACATCCAAGGGTCGTAGACGTTAGCTTTGCTATTTCTACTGAGCCCCTATATATTTGGTGGTGGCGGATAGGTGATACGTCTCCAACCGAAGAAAAAAAAGTTGCATCTCGACATCAAACTAGCAAAATATTTCGTTCAAGTCAGTGTACACCACTGATTGTGAGCGATATACGATCAGCACGGGACTCGAACCCGCAACCTTGGCCTTGGGATATCTGTAGTAGATAGGAGGGCCACGCGCTACCATTGCGCCAACCGACCGGTTGCCATGAAGAGTTCTTGTGGTGGGAGATCTCTATGTAGCTGGCAAACCGGAACATGGAACCCCAAGATGAGCAGCACGAAAGGTATGGTATATTTTTTTGGAACTTGGTATGCTGTAGCGGTGAAGTTTTTGCTGGACGATGTGGAGGGAGGTATGTAGGTGTGGGGATGTTTGGCCGAGATCTGTGTAGCAGAGCCGACTTGGAAGCGTAGCCGAATGTAATCATGCATGAACTATCGTCCTGTACTTGGAAGTATCCTTGGAACAGCATCGTCAACACATGTTCAGATCATTGTATAAGACATTGGTAGCATGAGGTTGTAGGTTTCGGTTATGACATGAACACGCCTAGATAAGATTAGACAGCGATGACGCGATCGACAATTTTTGGTCAACCTAAACCCCTTACAGCCAGAACAGTAAACAATCATGTAATACCAATTCGTTTTCCCACACATCTGCCAGTATCACAGGTACAAATAGACATCACCAGTGTGACAGAACCCCCATAATAATCTCGTGTGGGTTAACCATCGCTGCTGCCCGGCAAGTTTCGGCGACTGCCAATTTCCGTTTTGTGCACACAGGCAAAATCCAATCACCAAGCAAACTGAACCGAGAGAAAATAATACAATTTCAGCGACCATGGTATGCAAGCCAAGCCTTTTCGCGTAGTATGGACTACGACGAGCCTCGAATACGTTGGGCTGACAAAAGGGCTGGTGTTAGGTGCACGCTGACGCGTCCGATTTTGCCGATGGAATGAGTAAGAAGGAGGTTTATGAGCAAGTGCTTGAGCAGGCGAGATCGCTTTTTGATGGGCAAAGGAATTGGGTATGTAATTCTCAAAAGTCTCAAGGATGAGGAGGATAAATAGGATTGCTAATGTCGTGTAGGTCTGGTGAGCTCCTACCCTTTCCAAACTTGCGACAAATGTCCATTCCTAACCAAGACTTTCAACAAACAGCAACTTCTCAAACACAGCATCCCTCCTCTGGCACGCGTACCACTCGCTGCCCTCTCCCTCCTCCTCCGTCAACTGGGCAGGTTTCTACTTCACTTCCCCAACAAATGCGTCGCAACTCCTGCTCGGCCCTTTCCAAGGCCAGGTAGCATGTCAAACCATCAATTTTGGTCGCGGTGTGTGCGGTACTGCGGCGAAAGAAGCAAGGACGCAGCTGGTAGCAGATGTGGAGACGTTTCCGGGGCATATTGCGTGTGATGGGAGGAGTAGGAGTGAGATTGTTGTTCCGGTTGTTAAGGATGGGAAGGTATGTTTTCAGCTTTCTTT